CCAAGCTGCGCTCTTCGCGTTGAGGTCCCCTGCCAACAGCACCGGCGTCGGTGCGGCCCTTCTCACCGCCCTCTCCAGGGTCTCCAGGAACGCTTCGAACCGGGCAAGGGGTAGGTTAGGGGAGAAATACACCCCTACTAGGGTGAACTCTCCCCATCCCACCATGATGTACCCGGCTCCGCGCTCCTTCACCACCAGAGAAGGGCCGGCCGCACTCGCCACTATGGCCACCGTCGAAGTTTGGTCGCCGGCCCAGTTCGCCCTGGGGGGAACAAAGTAGGGCTCGGCGACCACCGCCACGTCAACCTCCCACTCCGCCATGGTTTGACACAGGAGGTCCTGTGCCCTGGCAGAGTGGTTGAGGTTGCCCTGCAGTATATTATGGTGGCGGCCTGGCATTACTGCTCCATACTACATTGTCCCTCAATGGGGGGGGGGGCCTGAGGTCCCCGCCGGCTTGCCCTTGGTTGGGGGGAGCGCAAGATCGCCCCCCCATTACGTGGTCCGCTGGACGGCGCACCGCGGTACAGACCGAGCACCGCGGGGTCGCCGTGCACCCGGATGCTGAGTGCCCCGCCTGGCCACACCTGAAACAGAGCCCGCTCCTGTCCACACTGGACGGGCAGAGGGCTCTGGTGTGACCAATCCCCATGCACTTGAAGCAGCGCATGGGGAAGGGTTCCATGACGTGGACCCCGGCGGAGGACCACCCCACCAACAGGCGGCCGGCAGCCGCCACCAATTTGGCTGCCGTTATTGGGCAGCGGACTAGGGCAGACCCCCTCCCATTCGAGGCCAGCCTAATGGCTCCCACGCTCACCTGAGACGGGGGGCATTGTCCCTTCGCGGCCACCACCGCTCGGATCTTCTCCGGGGTCACCGACTCGTCTAGGCCGGTGACCCTCAGATCGGCGGTTTTGGTTGGCCGCGTTACTATTACTAGCCCCCCGATCGCCTCCTCCAGTTTGGCCGCCAACTTGTTGGCCTTCTCGGTGCTGGTCGCCCCAGGCACCTCTAATATGCGGGCACCCGTTTGGGTGTTCCGCACCCGCACGTGCGGTATGCCGAGGTCGCCCAGGTTGACAGCTGCGGTCGCCGCCTCGAGGACCCCTCTATACGAGGCCCCTTTTTCCACCACCGCCTCAGGCCGCAGGGTAATCACCACTGCCGAGGATTTCGGGGTGGCGAGAGCTCTGGGTCCGGGAGCCGTCTTGCGGGCAGCCTTGGCGGGGGCCCGTGCCGCCTGGGGGGCGGCAGCAGCCTTTCTGGCCTTCTTGGCCTTGCGGCCGACCACTTGTGACCAGGGCGTTTCCTGGTCGGTCAACGCGGAGGCCGCCGCACCAGGAACGGCAGGGGCGGCCGGGGCAGCTGCAGCCGCCGTAGGAGGGGCGGCCGCAGTCTTCGGCGGGGGAGCCTTCTTTTTGGCCGTCTTAGGCCGCGGGCCGGCGATCGCGTTTCGGGCCGGGGAGGGGCCCGGGGTTGGCTCGGAGGCCGCCGCGACGGGAGGCATCCTGGAGGCGGCCGCAGAGGCGGCGGCGGTGAGCGCCGCTTCGGGGGCGGGCGTCCCTCTTCTGCCGCCCAGAGGAGGCCTTAGGGTCTCGACAGGGAGGCGTCGCTCAATGTCGCCTAGGCGGGCGTCCACCATGTTCTTCATGGAGGTGAAGATGTCCCGCCTTAGGTCGTCAATGGCCTCCCTCACCCCCGCGTGCATCTCCGCAGAGCTGCACGGCGGTGGAGCCACCTGTGTCTTGGCCTTGGCCATGGCAGAGGAGTAGGCCCCCCTCAGGGCCTTCATCTCCGTCTCTAAGGCAGCAAGCTGCCCCCTCATCCGGCGGTTGTCCTCTGACATCCGCCGGGCTGCCTCAGTCGCCGTCTCTCCGCGATGGAGGAAGTCTACGGCTCCTTCCACCTTTCTGACGGCCTCTTTTATGGCCTTCACCACCGTCCCCTTTAAATTAGAAGACTTGGCGGTCTCCGCCAGAATGGCCGCGAGGCCGTCTCGTGCTTCCTGGGCCAGAGACTCTCTCCTGAGGCCCACCGTGACCTCGGGTTCAGCCACCCCGGCCTGGCCCGGGCCCCTGAGGGCCTCTTTGAAAAAGGTGGCGTCCGCCTCCTTCTGGAAGGCGTTCCACTCTGCCGAGTTGGAACGACCCCTCCCTGACGCCGACGCACCGGGGTAGGTTTTCACAGGCCTGCCCCTACGAGCCGTGTTAACCTTCGGGGCCCTTTCGGGCTCCAACGGTTCGTCCGACTGGGGGGCGGCGCGCTTGGGAACCCTCGAGGATACCTCCTCTCCGGCCGATCCAGAGCGCGACACCGCGCGCGAGCTCCCCTCAGAGAATCGATTTTCCACGTCCGTCTCGGACTCCCTACCGCCGTCCGTCTCAGACCCTACGTCATATGCAAAATCAGTTTCCATTATACTAGTGCGTTCGTTGTGTTCACGAGGGTCGACTTCTGGCCGACCCACGAGGCAGTTTTTGCCCCCCCCAGAGTACGAGGGGCTGCCACCCGCCGAGGCGGATGGGCGGGATTCCCCCTTTCGGGGACCCGCCTGGGGACCATTTTGAAAACGTGCCTTATCCATGTTGAGCTTTGAAAGGGGGTGAGCTCCCCACTGGGGCGCCCTAACGGCTGGATACCCTCCAGCCATTCATCCCATCGCCGGGCGCTAGAGCTTAGGATTGGGGTAATTTTTATAGAGGTTGTCTTCCTCGCAGCCCTCCTCTCAGTGAGGAGGACCCCCGGTCCTGCTCCATGCAGGATTACGGGTTGGCCGGAGCCGGTCTTAAGACCGAACACCGCCCACCGCCTCGGTTGCGAGTTAGATAGCGCCGGACAGAACCTGCGCTATCTTCCTCCCCTCCCAGTGCTGATTTTGGTCCGCGCCGGCCGAAGCCGATAACTCCCATATCTGGGAGTCGTTCCCCTATCCGCCACCTGGGGACGCGTCCGATGGCAGACCAGCAACTGCACACGGAAACCTAACCTAACCTAACCTAACCTAACCTAACCTAACCCCGAACTTTTGGCACTGACGACTGCAACAACTCACGCGTTGGAGAAGGGAGCCGCAAGCTGCAATATTTACAGCGACTCAAGGTCCGCTCTCGAGACAGTCGCAAACGGGACGTCCCTCCATCCCCTAGCGGTTAAAGCCAGGGCAAATATCACGAAAATAAAAAAAAACAGGAACAATAGCATTAACCTGTTCTGGATTAAGGCTCACGCGGGGATGGACGGGAACGAACGTGCAGATGAGCTGGCCAAGAGTGCAGCGTTGCACAAAAAGACCAAGGCGGACTATGACAAGTGCCCTGTTTCATTCGTGAAGCGAGAGATCCGATTGGACTCGCTGAGCGAATGGAACAGGCGCTACGTCGAAGGAGAAACTGCGTCGACCACAAAGACCTTCTTCCCGGACGCTGTGTCCGCGTACAGAGTGGTGAGAAAAATGGAGCTGGATCCGATCCTCACACAATTGATGACGGGGCACGGTGGGTTCTCCTCATACCTGCATAGATTCCGGTGCAAGGAGAACCCATCATGCGATTGCGATGAGGACACCGAAGAAAGCTCCATTCACGTGGTCACCGAATGCCCCATTTACGCCAGGGACAAACTGGACGCGGAATACAGGATAGGTCAAGAGATAAAAGAGAGCACCATCCAAGACATAATGAGAGGGAAAGACAGTAGAGAAACATTTCTGGAATACTGCAGAGCAATAATAAGTAAGGTGGTGAACAAAAACAAATAGATAAAACCGGCGGTACCTTTCTATATTTCTACATATAGAAGAGGTACCCACGAGATAGAATAAGATAGAAATAGAATAGAAGTGTAAGAAAACTGAACTTAGACAGGAAAAGTAGCAAATAAGATTGTAAGAATGAAAAAAACCCCAAGATGTCAATGGGAAATAAACATAAGAAAATGTATGAATTAAGTAAAATAGGATAAGGAACATATAGATAAGACCCTACTGTAAAAAAGATGTAAGCTAATATGTAAGGAAAATGTAAAAATAAAAAAGCAAAAATAAATGAAACCCAGACCCTGATCCAAACCCAGTGTACAATAGAAAATAAGAAAACATGTAAAGAAACAAAGGATAGGAAAGCAAAGATATACATGTATGTAAATAAATA